TGTAAAAGATGTAACAATATTTAGCCAATAATGCCAATAACAAATGATCATGCAAATGCACAATTCAATCACTTTACTGCTTAGACTGCTGTTATCTCATTATTGATGAAATGACGCCAAATCGAGCATTGCAGCAGAAGTCGTTCAGCTGATTGCATTCTGCGTAAAACATCGAAAAAGAAACGTCGAAGTATTTTATTTCTTCGAAATTTGAATAAACATTTTTTGAATAAAACTGTTTTAAGCAAATGCATCATTCTTCTTCTTGATTGCTTCATCAGTAAGAATTCTCTTAATACGTGATTACGTCCGTCAGCAGTGTTTCCATTTCCCGATTGAATAGCTCGATACAATCTTCGTGAAGAATTTCCAAACACGTGCATCATGAAATTCATCTCATTCCTCCAACGTTTCTACAATGACAATAAGATTATAGTGAATGCATACTTATATCACAAATACACGCTTGTTATTTTATTACTAATTACTTATACAAGATTTCATAATAAACTAAACATTAAGTCTTAAACATGTAGTAATAATAATAAACACTCTTGTTATGTATTTAATATGAGAAGATCTATTTTTTTCTTTGAATTTATCAAACGATAAAAGTACAAAATTAGGTATTGTTTTATTCATTTTTTGCTGATTTTTACTTGGTACAAATGTTACACTTTATTATCATTCATCTACACCACAACTTTGCATACGAATAAAGTAGTGAAAAAAATCTAAAAAAAAAACTCACTCTATTATAAGAATTCATTCTGATGATGTTTAGAGGTAATGATTTTTTATACTTCAGTATTTTATTCCAGCCATTTATTAGAGTGGATGATTGCACATCAGGATGGATCAATCCAAATGCATTTAAAATTTCAGTGGTAGCAAACATTTGAAACATGTATTGATCACTATTTAGACGTGATAAATATTCGTTGATTTCATTCATATATATGTTTACTATAGAGGTCAAATTGTAAAAAGTTAAAGTACAGACACGTACTTCAACATCTACTGCACGCGTTAAATGATCTAAAAACGTTAAAATAGACTGATTCATTCTCGATTGGCTAACTTGAGTTGATTGATTATCCGTTGTTGACAACATCTCATCCGATTGAATTCTGTTGCTGTACGCAATTTCCAAACTTCTGCCTCTATTGGACCAGCATATTCCAATCGCCCTTCTTCTTCTGTTCACCGAACGACAGACTTCCACAAACTTCCAAAACATTCTAGTGGGACCGTACAGACGACCGTACCCAACAAGCACTGACAGATAGAATGAAATATACTCTTGCTCTCTTCTTTCGTTAAACGCTTCAATGAAATTTACATATGGATTTTAAGGGTTAAATTTTGCACGTAATAGAAGAGGGAAAAGAAAAAAAATTTTTTTTTTGTATTGATTTTTTGCTTCATACACATTCTACACTTTATAAACGAGATAGTTAGAGTAAAATGTTTATTATGCATACCTCTAATTTCATAATAACACATTTTTGACATTTTAATTGAAAAGAATAAAAAAATGCACAAATAAATAATACAAATTAGTAATTACGTAATCTTTTTTAACAATATTTTCGCAAATTTTTCATTTCGTTGATAGCATGTTTGCAAGGTTTCAATCTTGATGGATCGTAATCCGCTCCAATGGGAAATTCAGCAAATTCATCCGAAATAGCAACTTTTTTACTTTTATTATTGACTGATTTTTTCCGTAAAATTGACGATAGCTTAAATGGTTCACTAGCAGATAACGTTGCTGTAAATTGAGCAATCTATAAAATATGTTCAGTTAATTACTCATAATTAATTGAACTAAAATGTCAAATGTTTAGACTTACTCAAAGACGTAAAGTTGATCAAAAAAATTTAATTATGAAACAAAAGTTTAATTTAAATGACAAACCTGCTTTCGAGCAATTTCGAGAACATCATTAGCCAATTCAACTTGATCACGATAAGCATCAGCACCACCAGCCAAACTTTCTATTGTAAAATTTATCTAAAAATAAACTGAGTTTTACTTATTGTAAAATTATGATAAATACTTGATGATAGAAAGTATTTGTTACCTGACCACTCTCGATGACCCCTTCTTGTATGTAATAATCAAGCATTGTTTTACTGGCAATAGGACAATCATTAACTTCACTTCAAACAAACATTTATTTTTATGCCACTTACATATATATCTCGGAATAAACATGAAAAATTAATAATATTCAAAACTGCTTGATTTGATGCCATAAAAAGTTGTATACATTCAAAAGACTTTAATAAAAATAAAGTTAGTTTAAGAACTTCATCTGGATGTATTTTATTTACAAAAGAATTCAAGTTTAAATTAAGAACAATACTATAATTTTTTTCCGCATCTAGTGATTGTAAAAATTTATGAAAAGTTACAAAAATCTTAACAAAAAATTTTTAATAAATACCGTATAATATCTCCTGGCCGCAAATGTATCGATGATAAACTGTTTTTAGCTGTAGAAGTAACCTGAATTCGTTCCTTTGCATCATATTTTACTGATAATCCGAGCAATTCATTTACGTCCACCATTTCACTACGACGTAATGCTATTTGAACCTAACAAAATGAAATTTAATTATATGACAAAAATTAAAACTTGTCAAATTTTTATGCAGCATTGAAAAGATAAAAAGTATGTAAGTATGCCTAAAATGTGTCAAATTCAGTCTTTAAAAATAATTTAATTTTTATGCAAAAATGAATACTTAGCATTTAATAGACTTTAAAATAATACTGACCTTTGTAATGCTTTTTCATTTCTACACTCTTCAGCAGTTAATTGAAAAAAAAGTTAGTACATTTAAATTCTTAACTTTATTTTGCAATAAAAATTAAATACTTCCGAAAGCACAAAAAGAAACAAACTTTATCATTTGCTTTGAATGAGAAGTAAATCCTTTCTAAAATATTATTCACATCATTGATAGCAAGCAATTCACTTTCAGAAACCTTTGGGAATTGTATTACTTTAGAAAGGCTGCTTTTCGCTTCAGAAAATCAACTTCCTTGCCTGATACAAGTCTATAGCTCGGCCTGTGCATCTCATTTCTCGACCTCTTTCCACAGATATTTTTTCAACATAAGTCTTTTTATGCTTACATTTTGAATAACACGTACGTTGAAATACAACCGTTACCATCTATGCATATTTGTCATTATTTAACCTTAACATTCATCGAATATGAAAAATTTTGTAATTATCTTGCATCATTATTCCAGTTTTGATATTCTGATTACCATTATTACCATTAGCTTGATAATATTAATAATCATAATCATTATTATTATTATTTAAAATCCGTTTTCATACAAGAATTCAATTAACAAGTGAAAGAAAGTTGCTTTAGTATTTTAAAAAGATACTAATACCATTAATAAATATTGCCATTACAGTAAATGTTTTTGCTATAATTTTACTTAAGATAGTGTTTGAAATAAAAGTTAGTTGCATAAAAAAGTGCGCATTTTTGTGCCTTATTTTAAACCTAAAATTAGCCGATATTATTTATAAGCTATTTAAGCAAAGAAAAAAGGGGTAAATTTTTACCGGTGAAGGGTGCCCAAGAATTTTGTTCAATTCTTGTATGCTAGCAACTTTTTGTCTGTCGACTGCAACAATTATATCACCAATAGAAACCTGTCCCATAGATGCCCCAGATTCTTCTATGTACGTCACCTCAAATAATACTTACACTTATTCAATTATTTTTAATTATTAACATAATGATTTAGCTATAACTGTTGTTAGCGTGTTAAATTTTTATACTGTTGAATTTTGATTTTTTGTGCGTTGGATGGAAATTTTTAACCTCTAGTGTATGCTTCGAAATGCGTAGTCCAAGAGGCTTCTTCAACATCACAGTATCTTGAAATACGATTTATTTAATTAGATCGTATTATAATCTGTCAACTGTAATAACAACAGTATGCTCAGAACCACTTTTTATTCAAGAATTTGATTTGCAGTTGAAAACAATTGCTTTTGTATTTTAAAAAGATCTTAATACCGTGCATTTGCAAAATCAAAAATGTCCAATAAGCATTGGTCAGTGTGCATTAGTGCTATGATTTCATCAATTAACAAATATCAGTCATATCATTGAAGTTTTCAAAATTGAAATGTCATCACAAAAATGAAACTAATTTCTTTTGATAGAATAGTAAAATTGATTATTAAGAAATCGTATAACTTTTTAGTATTTCTTTGTGGAAGAAAACAAATTAAGAAAAAAGATTGCAAAAATTTTACTCTCTTTTCTTTGTTCAAAATTTTTAAATGATGACAACTGATATTTAAAAATAAATCAAATCTTATTTTTACATTTGTTTAGTTTAGAATAAATCTAATTTTTATATCTCACTCAATATGTTTTACATACATCTACAATTTAACATTTATTTTTTGCTTCCGTATCTGTGAATAAGCTTGTAGATATGATAAAGCAGCAA